TTTTTTTCAGTTTTGGGATTTGAAATCGGGGCCTGGGAATAGTCCCTGGGCTTTTTCACCAAAGGCAAGCACTCAACCACTTTGAGACACAGCGCCATTTCCATTTTTCTGGTTTTGAACTGGTGATTAGTCTCAGGGATTTCCTTCCCAAGCTAGGTTCAAACCACAATCTTCAGATGTCTGCCTCCTGAGTCACTAGGATTACAGCTGTGAGCCACTGCACCTGACTAGAATTGTTTTATATTTGATCTCTACTAAACCACCTATTTCAGTAATCAGTTCATTTTTAATGAAGTAACATCATGAACTATGGTATAAAAATGCATCTTTGAAAATTTGAAGATAATATTGTAAATCATGAATCACTATTATGTTTACATATTGATAAGACTACATTCTTTTCTTAAGATATTTGCAATAGTAAATTTCAAACCCTGGGCCTCATACATACAGTGCACAGACTTCACCTCCAGCCAACATACCCATCTGTCTTGTAGTAGACAGGTATTTTTGTATTATGGTTGAATGATGTTTTTGGGTGTGCTTGGCCTACAGCTTGAATTCAGGGCTTGAGAGCTGTCCCTGAGCTTTTTTTTGTTTTTGGTCAAGGCTAGAGTTCTACTCCTTAAGCCACAGCTCAACATTCAGTTTTTTTGTCTGTCTTGTATCCTTTCACGATCAATTGGAGATAAGAGTCTTCAAGGCTTTTCTAACAGGGATAATTTGGAACTATGATCCTCAGATCTCAGCCTCCTGAGTAGTTAAGATGAAAGGCATGAGTCACCAGCACCTGGCTGACTGAATATTTTCATAAAAAACCTTTAATATGTTATTTTCCTTACATTTTTGTATATACATATATGTGTATATATATATATATGTGTGTGTGTGTGTATATATATATATATATAAGTATATATATATATATATAGAGAGAGAGAGAGAGAGCAAAGTTACTGTCCAGAGGAATTAGTTACAGGAGCAAGGTAATGAATCCATTTATTTCCTATCAAGCATTTGTTTCCCCCTCCTTTGTTTGTACCCTACCATCCCTTTCCTCCCCACCTCCCCAAGTCTTCCCCCACCCCAAAGTTGTAAAGTTCGTTTTCAACAGAGTGTCTTCTACACCTCATTGTTACAATGAGTCATCCTGTATCCTTATTTCAGCATTTTGTTATTTCCCTTCCCCTCTTTAATTAGAAAAATGTATATACAAGATGCAAAACACCGGAATCAAATATAGTGACAACAAGGGTTATACCATGGGAGAACATACAAAGAAAGAAAAAATATCATATAGTACATTATAAGCAGATCAAAAAGAACAGCAAGAAAAATAAAATCTCGTGTCCCTATCTTGGGGTTCATTTTGCTTAGCATCAACTTATATGGTCATATGTACATAGCTTTTGAACTCTTCTGCTTGTCCTAGACATAGTTATTGCATATAAGGGAAACTATGATTTCCCTTACATTTAATTAGCGTATATTAGTTGAACATAGGAGATTCATTGTGCTACTTCCATTATGTATATGAATGCACCCTCATTCTCTTCCTTCAATAACCAGTGGGGTGGGAAAGCCCACCCCCAGGGTCTGGGCCGCTGGAAGGGCCAGGGTGTCAAGAGTGGTTGTGAGTGGGTGGCTTGGGGGAGGGTGAGTGGCAGTTGAAACTGTTAGAGGCAGGGAGGGAACACAGCCTATATATAAGCTACATATTCCCAGGAGCAGGGGTGGAGATTGAGATGGCAGAGAGAAAGACAGTGAGAGGAGCCTATTGTTGCAGAGCAGGGCCTGTTGAGAATCCTGGAGCCTCTGGAGAGGTGTCTGGAGAGGCCAGTGGCAAGGCATGAGGCCTGCAAAGAGGCCTGTGTGGAGTGGAGAGGCCTGCAGAGAAGGAGGAAGCAAAAGGAAAAGCCTTCCCCTTTGGAGCATTGGAGCTTTGAAGATTTGTAGATTGACTAATAGGAGGTTTGCAGTCCAACTAGTAAAGGTCGGGGCTGCCCATTGGTGGCTTGGAGGTTGAGGCTGCTCTTGGTTCTGGGTAGCCAGCCAAGCACAAGGTAGTCGCAAGCCCCCTTTCTGGTGTAAGTAGTGTAAATAACGTTCCTTTGTCACCTTTAACTGTGCCTTGATGGATTGTCATCACATTCCCTTCCTCATCCTCAAAACAGTATGAACACATTCCATTGTTACATTTGCACAAACATATACAAGGTTTGTTTCATCATACGGCCTTCCTTATTCTATCTTCCCTGATCCTACTGGGACTCAGATCCTCAACAGAACCTGTTTTATGTTCCTGTTACTTGTTTATTCTTTTTAATTTTTACCATAAAGGTGATGTACAGAGGGGTCATAGTTCTACAGTCACGCATTGAATACATTTCTTTTTGAACTGTGCTATTATTTGTTTTTTATTTATGTTAGTTGTGCAAGTTGCTTTCACCTAGTGATTTCAGAATACATGTTTACTTTAATCCGATGAACTTATTCCAGGGTCCTCTATTAACTTGTCCACTCCCACTTCCCCACTTCTATTATTCACCTACTTTCAGCCAGTTCCTGTGTGCAGTGCTCATAGTTCACATCTTCTTTATCAGTATTATTGTGTCTGTCCATCCTGTTCCCTCAACCACTCCTCCTTCAAATCCCCAAGTAGACCACATATTACAATTTGGGCTTAAGGATGTGATTAGACACATATACGCACACAGGTATATCTTTTAGGACTCCATTTCATTCCATTATGTAAGAGAAAAAAAATGTAACATTTGCCTGTATTAACCAATTTAGTTCAAATAACAAGTCGCTATTCAGTTACATCATTTTGCCAGTGAATGCTGCATTATCTTGTTTGTAGCTGAATAATGGTACCTTGATTATGCATGCCACATTTTCTTTTTATTTATCTTGAAGGAGTTTATGTTGCTGTTCACTCAGCAAGACCTAGGAATACACAACTGGTAGGCAGAAAGTGGACTACACCATGTGGACATAGACAAAGTTTATTGAAATATCACATGCTTATATACAGCATACAGGCAGGAAAGTAAATCTTCAGCAAGGGGAAAGAAAGTTGATCTTAAACAGTTTTATGGGAATACAGACAATGAAAATTAACTTTAAGTCAGTTAGCAGGAAGAATAATCCCTGACAATAAATGTGAGGTAGCTCCAGTGATCAAAGGTTACTGAAAAGGCACAGGTGAGCTTCCTTAGATACACAAAGGAAGTCTGAGGTCTTGTTCTATGGGATGAATAGGAGAGGCAAGAATGGCACTTCCTGAAAACCTTCACTGAGACTTGTGGTTGGGCGTGGGACATTTGCCCTGACTTGGAAGTGGCGTTCCCCTGTTCCCTGCCCGAGGGAATGCATGGGGACATATGCATACTCATGGTACTCAAGACCTCAGATAGGGTCACACACGTCAGTGCCTTACAGAGTTATACAAAGGACTTCTTTATCCAAGCAATTATAAATACAATGTCTCTTGATCAATGTCACTCAGTTCAACATTTCCACTCATCCTTCCCCTACCTATCCTTTCTCTCTGTTAATTTTGTAAGATATACATTTGATACCTGACTGCATTTTCCTCTTCTTCATTTGTTTTCCAATTTCCCCATAACCTCACCTCATCCCTTTCAATTACCCACTTCCCTGTGAAAATTTTGCAAATCTAATTTTCAACCACCTGTTGATCCCCTTATGCTTAATTTTTTGTTATTTAGTCCTTCTGCCTACCAGAAGTATCATAATGCCCTAATACCAAGATGGAAGTTGAGTTGTGTTTTTTTTTGCATTAAATTGACTGACGCAAGCTGAGATATCCTAATCCATAAGTGTGTAACTCCTTAAACTGTGGGACAGAGATCAGGTACATATTCCTGAATTCAAGAAATAAGAACCCACTCATTCAATCATGGAACAAACACACCACTGATTGCTTGGGATTTCATGAAATGTTCTAGAGTTCTCAATCATTTCCACATTCTTTAACATCTTCACAGACTACCCTGTCATTAGCTGACTGTGTCGATTACAGTTTACTGAGGCAAGATGACTGTTTTTGTAACTAACACTGAGGCTCAGGCATAGAAAAAACCCTTTGGACCTTCATTTCCCTTCTATACAATGACAGAAATAAGTCCATGCCACTGTAATCTGGAGGTTGATAGTTCTGACAGGATAGCATTGTAAGCAGAAGGGAAGGATATCATATAGACACTGCCTAGATCTTGGCATGTGTAAGTCCCATTTTCTTTGTCTGTTCTTTAACTGTAGTGCTTCTAGAGTGCTTCCAGTTTGGCTCTTGGGAATAGAGGTGCAATAAAGATAGGTGTAAACATGACCCTGTTCTCTACGGACACAAATTCTTTCAGATGTATGCCCATGGGTAGTATTGCTGGATCCTATGGTACTTCTAGTTTTAGCTTTTTGAGAGACATCTATACCATTTTCCCTTGTTGGTACACTAATTTAAACTCACACAAACATCCTCACCAGCAGTTACTCCTTTATGTGTACTTGCTGATGTCCACTCTGATGGAAATGAAATTTATATGTTATTTCAATTTGCATTTCCTTTATGGCCAAGGATGCTGAACATTGCTTCATCTACAGATGTTCTCAGTTGTATATCTTGGGAGTTAAGTACACTCATTTGTCCTGCCAGTTCATTTATGTATTTATTAATTGGATTATTGGTTCTTTGGGAGTTTAGATATTTGAGCTCTCTCTGTATCTTGGTCATTAGTCTGTTTTCAGATGTATTGCAGGCAAATATGTTTTCCCATGCTGCAGTCTATTATGCCATGTTTTAATTCTATTTATCAAAATCTGTGATATGTTGAGAACGAGGTTCAGTGGTAGAGTGCTTGCCAAGCATGCATGAAAACCATGGTTTGATTCCTCTGTACCACATAAGCAGAAAAAGCTAGAAATGGCACTGTGGCTCAAGTGGTAGAGTGCTAGCCTTGAGCAAAAGAAGTTCACAGGCAGTGCCGAAGCCCTGAGTTCAAACCCCAGGACTGGCAAAAAAAAAAATAGAATCTGTCATAAAATTATTCAAATAACTTAAGGCCATACACTGTTCCTTAATCCACAACTGCTAGAGAATTTCTATGATAATAAGACCTATACATTCTGTGTTCTCCAGATAGCTGATTTTATATTATATAGGCTAATGCCTATTTGTTTGTTTTTGCCAGTACCTGACCTAGAACTCAGGTTTTGTGCTTGTTCGGTTTTCTCTCTCATAGGTGAAGGAAATATGAGCCACGCCTCCCACTCAGCTTTTTGCTGGTTAATTGAAGCTAATAATGTATTGTAGTCTGTGCTTGCTCTATTCCTTGATCCTCAGATCTTGGCTTCCTGAGTATCTAGGCTTATAGGCAAAATCCATTAATACCTTGCAGGCACAAACCATGAGTGCTTACATGTTTTTTTTTTCTTTTATGGCTGTTGCCATACAAAATAAGATGAATTTTCAAATGCTCAGTGTTATAAAAGTATGTCCAATTCTATTTGGACCACACTTATTTATGAATTATATATTAACTATATAATAAATGAAGTATATATATACATTTAATATATATTCAGTTTTAGTTAGGGACATGCACATATACACATACACACACACATATGAGAAACCTACACACTGTTTGTGGTTTGATATCAGTAGAGAAACCATGGCCATTAATATTCCTCACAAAAAACTATTTTGTTTATATGTATGCATGTATGTTTGTATATGAATATACAGAAACATATATACACACATGCATATATATATACATACACACTTGCACACTCATATACATGGTATATGTTAATAATATGACATATTTTATATATACAAATGAGGCAGAACATCACTGTATAGCTTGAGTTGCTCTCAAACTAGTGAAAATCCTGTCTTCCTTTCCTACCTTTTGAATTATAAGCCTGCCAAAACACACCTAGATTACTAACTTTATTTCAAATGAATACACTGCTGTCCTCAAATCAAATGAGTTCCTAATTATTAAGGAAGGATAATATTTAGAGGAACTACTAAATTATGAACTAGCTTCACATAGAAACCCATTTTTCTGTTTCTAAGAGGATTCCTTAAAAGTGTGCATTATTACAAAATGAAGTTCAATTACTACAACTGGTATTGATTTCTGTACACCAGTCAAACATGCCAACGTTAGCACTTGATCTCACTGCCTAGGTGCTGTTCCTGAGCTTCTTTGCTGAAGGCTAGTCCTCTATCGCTTGAGGCACATATCTACTACTTTTGACCTTTATGGTGGCTAATTGGAGATAAGTCTCATGTTCATTTTACCCAGGCAAGCTCCAAAGATTGATCTTCAGATTTCAAAATTGCAAGCATGAGCGATTTGAGCCCATTAGCTTTACATATTGTTACTTACCTGTCTTGTGTTATTTCTGGTACTAAATAAGGGCTTCGATCTATCCTGTGTAGGTTCTCTGCTGCAAACTGCCTTTTCTTCCAGATGAAAGACTTTCCCCATTTGTTACATTCCAGAGGTTTCTCATTTGAGTGAATTTTCTTATGTGTGCTGAGCTGTCACTTCCACTTGAAGCTCTTTGCACATGTGTTGCATTCAAAAGGCTTCTCTCCTGTGAGTGCTCTTTGATGCAAAAGGGTTTACTTCTGTGTGGAACTTTTCCACAGCTGTTACATTTTTAAGGTTTTTCTCCTCTGTGTGTTATCTGGTGGACACTAAGGTGTGCCTTCTTGATGCAAGATTTTCCACATTTGTTACATTCACAAGGTTTCTGTCCAGTGTGTGTTCTCTGATGGACAGTAACCTTTCCCTTCTGGACAAATGACTTTCCACACAGGTTACTTTCAAAATGTTTCTCTCCTGTGTGTCTTCTCTGATGGATATTAAGGTGTGCCTTCCAGGTGAAAGACTTTCCACATTTGTTACATTCATAAGGTTTCTCTCCTGTGTGTATTCTGTGATGATCAGTAAGTTTTGTTTTCCGGGCGAAAGACTTTCCACACAGGTTACATTCAAAAGGTTTCTCTCCTGTGTGTGTTCTCTGATGGGCAGTAAGGTATTCCTTCCTGGTGAAAGACTTTCCACAGCTGTTACATTCATAAGGTTTCTCCCCTGTGTGTGTTCTCTGATGGACAGTAAGCTGTCCCTTCTGGGCGAACGACTTTCCACACAAATTACATTCAAAAGGTTTCTCTCCTGTGTGTGTCCTCTGATGGATGTCAAGGTGTGCCTTCCAGGTGAAAGATTTTCCACATGTGATACATTTATAAGGTTTGTCTCCTGTATGCATTCTCTGATGGATATTAAGGACTGCCTTCCTTGTGAAAGACTTTCCACACTTCATACATTCATAAGTTTTCTCTCCTGTGTGTTTTCTCTGATGTATGTTAAGGTGTGTCTTCCGGATGAAAGATTTTCCACACTTGCTACATTCATAAGGTTTGTCTCCTGTGTGCATTCTCTGATGGATATTAAGGCGTGCTTTCCATGTGAAAGACTTTCCACACAGGTTACATTCATAAAGTTTCTCTCCTGTGTGTGTTCTCTCATGTGTGTTAAGGTCAGCCTTCCGGGTGAAAGACTTTCCACACCTGCTACATTCATAAGGTTTCTCTCCTGTGTGCATTCTCTGATGGATGTTAAGGCCTGCTTTCCACATGAAAGACTTTCCACACACATTACATTCATAAGGTTTCTCTCCTGTGTGTCTTCTCTGATGTGTTTTAAGGTCTGCTTTCCGGATAAAAGACTTTCCACACCAGCTACATCCATAAGGTTTGTCTCCTGTGTGTATTCTCTCATGGACAGTAAGATGTATTTTCCGGGAGAAAGACTTTCCACACCTGCTACATTCATAAGGTGTCTCTCCTGTGTGGATTCTGTGATGATCATTAAGTTCTGCCTTCCGGATGAAAGACTTTCCACACACCTTACATTCATAAGGTTTCTCTCCTGTGTGTGTTCTCTGATGGACAGTGAGGTGTGCCTTCCGGGTGAAAGACTTTCTACACACGTTACATTCATAAGGTTTCTCTCCTGTATGTGTTGTCTGATGGACAGTAAGTTGTGACTTCTGGGTGAAACACCTTCCACACACGTTACATTCAAAAGGTTTCTCTCCTGTGTGAGTTCTCTGGTGCACAATAAGGTTTGCTTTCCGGATGAAAGACTTTCCACACTCCATACATTCATAAGGTTTCTGCCCTGTGTGGGTTGTCTGATGGATGGTAAGGTGTGCCTTCCAGGTAAAAGATTTTCCACATATATTACATCCATACAGTTTCTTTCCTGTGTGTGTTGTCTGATGAAAAGTAAGGTGTGCCGTCTGGGCGAAAGACTTTCCACACACGTTACATTTAAAAGGTTTCTCTCCTGTGTGTATTCTCTGATGGACAGTGAGGTGTGCCTTCCGGGTGAAAGACTTTCCACACACCTTACATTCATAAGGTTTCACTCCTGTGTGTGTTGTCAGATGGACAGTAAGGTGTGCCTTCTGGGTGAAAGACTTTCCACACACGTTACATTCATAAGGTTTCTCTCCTGTGTGTGTTGTCAGATGGACAGTAAGGTGTGCCTTCTGGGTGAAAGACTTTCCACACACGTTACATTCATAAGGTTTCTCTCCTGTGTGTGTTGTCTGTTGGACAGTAAGGTGTGCCTTCTGGGTAAAAGGCTGTCCACATTGGTTATATTCTAAAACTACAGGAGACACACCAGGAGTATAGGCAGCACATATCAAATCAGGTTCACCATAGAGAAGCATGTTCTGACACCGCATAAACTCCTTTGTCCTCATCCCCAAGGAGTTCCCATTATTTCTAATCAGCTCCGACTTAGGTTTTGATCTCAAATTAAAAGTTGTTATTAATCTTACTTTTTCCTCTCCTGTGTTACTATTCATGACTGCTACTTCAGACAGATAATCATAGGGACTCTCCTGACAGGTCTTAATCCTGTACTCCATTTCTTGGACATCTAAAATGAGATATAGAAAGACAGATAAAAACATAAATGAGACCGCAAGATTCCTTAATGTCAAAGTAAAGACATTTTCTCCCACCTTAACTGTTACAAGATTTTAAACTTTCAAAGCAGGAACTGTTTGATGCAGAATATATGCTTTTCTCCGTAATGTATTAACAAAGTAGTACTGACATTTTACAATGGTAAATAATATTTTCCTGTTTCAGACTTTTTGTGTTTTTCTCAGGGAATTACTCAAATGATTCAACTACACACTGCTAGTTTTAAGACGAGTACTTAACATCTGCCTTTATTACCCTTTGGGTTTGGTCATAAGGGAATACCTGTTATTTTTATTTTAACTTATGAAAGTATTTTATATATTTTCTGCTTTGCTCTCAACCATTATGTGAGGTACAGAAATACTGACTAGATTTAGAGACCATTCGGGTGTTTTATACATCCGTTTGCCTTTCCACTAAGCGTGGAAGGTTCCTGAGAGTAAGGATTTATACCTCTATCTCTTCAGTTCTAACTTCTAAGAATTACTTTAGGGATTGGTGGCAGTTTTTAAATTTGTTTCTCTCCTTCTTAGTCAAATTCTCATCAAATTTCCTTTTCTGAGACTCCTGCTCCTTCACAACCATTAAAGACCAAAGATACTCCAGCTCACCACCCCGGTAATCATCCCCTGTGAACCAAAAGCTTTGCTTCTGAATCTCATTCACTGTCCACCATCACCAAGCAGCAATTTTCCTCATCAGAGGATAGCAGTCCTGGCATGCTCCTTATTTCCTCATATCTGCATAACTGCTAGTTTCAAAGAAAATGAGACCTCATTTTCTACATTTCTCATTTCCTTTTTCTGTTTAAGAATGATTTCTACAAAGAGAAAGAATTGTTCACTTTAACTATACTGGGACACCGAAATCAGTTTGTCTCCATGTAAATTCTTTTTTTTTTTTTTCATTTTATTTTATTTTTTTTTGTGAACATACTGTACAGAGGGGTTACAATTACTCCATGTAAATTCTTGATTGACAAGTTCTTGAGACAAAGGATCACCTAGTTCTCTGCCACACATGACGCAGGGAACTAGGAACATTATTGCTCAGTAAAGCTCATTAAACTTACCAAGTGGGCTCTGGCTACAAAACCACCATGCAAGATGCTTTATCTCACCTGTGAGATTCTTGTCTGAGGCTTCTCTTATCCATGGTTCTGCACCTTGCTCCAGCTTGGCAATCAATTTAGGTTTAGGAACACAGTACCCTGTGATTAAGAAGTAGAGAAGAACTATTGGTAGTCTGGGTCATCATTACTGTAAGGTCTTAGACATCGTGTTCAAAGTTGCTCCTAAACCTTGTTTCTCATTTCTTACCCACTCCCTGGTTGACATTCCCCATCTTTGGACTTATTTTGCCAATTGTGTGGCTTGAATTCAGCTCTTTTGCTCAAAGCTAGCATTCTGCTAGTTTCAGTCCCAGCTACATTTGCAGTTTGTGAGGGGAATTGGAGATAAAAGCCTCATGGTCACTTTTCTGCAGTTGTTGGCTTCAAACCAAAATCCACACATTTCAGCCTCCTGAGGAGCTAGGATTACAGGTGTTAGCCACTGCACCCAGTGTCAGGTTTGATTACAAATAACCACTTTCAACTAGTGATTTTCAGATCATACTGCAAATAGTGATGTACATTCTATTCTAGACTGTATTTGCACCTACAAAAACCACCCCAAGTTTAGGAAGACAGTCTTCTATTAGTGGAACATAGTTTAGAACTTGGGTCCTACTGCTGACTGGGCTTCTTAAAGAATGGGAATAAAATTGTCTCGAGTTTCATAATCAAGTGGATGTTTCCCTTGGAAAACAAAATGATACTTCCTGTGGCTGGGAATATGGCTCTGTGGTAGAGTGCTTGCATTACATGCATGAGGCCCTGGGTTTGATTCCTCAGCACCACATTAGCAGAAAAAGCCATAAGTGCCACTGTGGCTCAAGGGTTGAGTGCTCAGCTTGAGCTGAATTGCTGAGGGACAGTGCTAGGACCCACAATCAACTGCTGCCACCCCCACCCCCCAAAATACAAAGAAAAAAGAAAAAAATGATACTTCCCATGGACTGGAATCTTATGCCTGAATAACATCAATATTTATGTATCAACTAAAAAGAAACCGCACTTGATCTCGCAAGTTAAAATGACTTTTGCTCACCTACAGACAAGAGGTTGCTGTAGGTCTCCAGCATTACATCTCTATGCAGGGTCCTCTGAGCAAGATCCAGGTCCTGCCACTCCTCCCAGCTGAAGTCCACAGCCACATCATCAAATGACACCAGCTTCTGTAATGGAACATTTCCATCAAGTATTTAGCCTTGAGTCATGAGAACACTAAATGTGGAATTTCATTCTTCTACATGTATGCTTTTGTCTTACATAACTGTTTGGAGCTTGCTATGTTACCTGTACACTAGGAGAATTGAAAATCAAAGTACAAATATTTGGTACCATAGTAACTTTGTACAAAGTTTCCCTGATACATGAGAACAATTTCTGCTGCTAGCTCCTGAGACAGGTAGAAATTCTAAGGAGATAATGTTCTGGCATGACAACATTAAAGTCTCAGTAGGTGTCTGAAAGAGTGTGTTTAGCTCATTTTGGTAAAGTTTACTAAGATCAGAAATAATTTTTTTCTGTATTTTCATATTCTGCCTCACTGAAATCCCCGAGTTCAAGCCCCACAACACGCACACACACACACACACACACACACAGACACACACACACACGCTGTCATAAGCAATTAGAACACATTTAGGACATCACATGAAATATACAGAACATTAGTAGATTCATGAAAAGTACAGTGTCCATATGAATGTTAATGGCAGTACTTAAGAACATAATTAATGATGAATTTGGCCCTTATAAGATCTGATTTACTTCCCACAAATAAATATCCTATGTTGACCATTGTTTGTTGAAGCCCTAAATATTGAAGTGTGGTCATGGATACCCTGATATTTCCTTCCTATGTGAAAAAGACCTGCTAGAAGGAAGTTTTGTGAACTTGGCCTACCTTCTACAATACAGAATATAGCTGGGAGGGGAATAAAATGTTCCTTGACCACACTTTCATTTTAATAAGTCTTCATGGAAGGATGGAGGATGGATAGAGGCTTAAGGAACATTCAAGATGACAAAAAATGAAAAATAGGACCACGACAAGAAAGACAGAGAAAAATTAGAAGAGGGATGCGATCTAAAATTACAGAAGAAAAATTTATAAGTTGGAAGGAAATAAGAGTGCTAATTTGTGTGCAGAGGCTAAATGGGGAGGTTTTGGACTCCCACACTGAACCCTATTACAAATGATGAATGGCCAAGCCAGTCATGCTTGGCAATACCAGAGGTGAATGCTGACTAACACACAAAAGGGAAATATATATGTGAAGAATTGAAAGAAAATAACATTCAGCTCACAATCCACTGGGCAGAGGAACTCTTCTAAAAATGTAGATTGAAGATATTGTCAGGAAAGATAATTCATTAACAGTATATCTGCATTTTAAGAGAGTTAAAAAAATTATCCTGCTTCAAGAGAAGAGCAAAAGGGCTGGGAAGGTGGCTCAGTGGTAGAGCGCGTGCCTTGCATGCATGAGGCCCTGGGTTTGATTCCTCAGCACCACAGAAGCAAAAAGAAAAAACCTGGAAGTGGCGCTGTGGCTCAAGGTGTAGAGCACTAGCCTTGAGCTGAAGAGCTGAGGGACAGCGCCCAGGCCCAGAGTTCAGGCCCCACAACCGGACCCCCCCCTCCAAAAAAAAAAAGAAGAGCAAAAGGTATCAACCTAGATATACTCATAGGACAAAGAAATTAAAATGGTAAATGTGTAGGTAAGTATAAAGGAATATATTGGTCATATATTTTATGTAATTTTTCTGTAATGATTTGTGGAAATAAAACTTATAGCACCATATTCATGATTCACAATGCATGAAGATTCAATATATAAACTCATCACTTTATTAAAAATATGTGGAATAGTTATATGTGTCAATAAATATTGCAATTGCCAGGCAAATAGGAGGGCCTCAGTTCAAAGAATTAATTGTACCAAAAAACAGGGTACTAGATTTAGGGCTGGGAATGTGGCTTACTCAAGAGTGCTTGGCTATGCACTGGTTCAATTCCTCAGTGCCATGTGAACAGAAAAAGTAGAAATGGATCTGTGGCTCAAGTGGTGGAGTGCTAGATTTGAGCAGAAGTTCAAGGAGAGTGCACAGGCCCTGAGTTCTAGCCCCAGGACTGTCCTAGAAAAAAGGCCTAGAATTCTAATTTTTTAATCCACCATTATCACTGGAGAAGTCATACACCTCTTACTAACTGATAGAACAACCAGACCAAAAATTAGCAGGGACACACACATCAATAGCATTATCTTAACCTAAATGCTGTGTATAAAACAATGTCATTACATTTACCAAGACAGAGACATTGAGAATAAAATCTCAAGACAAACTATTTAGAAATCAATATGACAAATAAAGCTGTATGTTATAAATAAAGTTAAATAGTGTATTTCTAGTAATCTGTAAGTGAAATAAACACAGGATAATTAGAATGGATTTGGAAGAAATGACCCGATTTATTGTGATTTTTCTTTTTTTTGGTCATGGGGCTTGAACTCTGGGCATGGGCACTGTGGCTGAGCTATTCAGCTCAAGGCCAGCGCTCTACCACTTGAGCCACAGCACAATTTCCAGTTTTCGGGTGGTTTATTGGAGATTAGATTCTCATGGACTTTTCTGCCTGGGCTGGCTTTGAACCACGATCTTTAGATCTCAGCCTCCTGAAGTGCTAAGATTACAAATGTGAGGCACCGGCGCCTGGCATTAACACTGTAATTTATAGAATATTAAAGGGAACCAGTTTCTTACTTCACCTTTGAAATAAAAATAAATATTTTAAATTCTGTATGCTGTATTCACATGTACATCTTGTAGAGACTGGGCAAAAGTCAGAGAATTGGAGGGAAATGGTAAAAAAGTGCAGCAGAGGATGGTTATGAGAAACTGATTAAAAGTCAACTATAGAACAACACATGAGTAGAGATGGAAGGGAGTGATTGAGGAAGAGTGAGGGAATGGAACACTCTGTAAGAGAAGGAATGCACTTATTACCTGATTCATGGAATTTTCATCTCTCTGTACATCACCTCTATAAAAACAGTAAATTAATTAGAAAACTATTGCTATGTGGAGTTGTGCTAGCATAATCCATTTGCTGAGTGAACAAAATCTCCCATAGTTAGAAGAACACTTACAATTATTAGAAATAAAATGCAACACTTAATTTGAAACTGAAGTATCTGAGTTTAAGTTGAACATGAGTTCTACATAATTATCTTGTTTCATTGTAGTATCCCATTAATTGTTAATGTTAAAAGTTCCAGACAAGAAAAATAAAACCAGGGCTGGGAAGTTGGCTCAGTGGTAGAGTGCTTGCCTTGCATGCCTAAGGCCCTGGGTTTGATTCCTCAGCACCACATAAGCAAAAAGAATAAAAGCCGGAAGTGGCGCTGTGGCTCAAGTGGTAGAGCACTAGCCTTGAGCTGAAGAACTGAGGGACAGCGCCCAGGCCCAGAGTTCAGGCCCCACGACCGGACCCAAAAAAAAAAAAAAAGAAAAAGAAAACCAAACCAGGGCTTCAGGCACAAGACTGTTCTCCTTCCCCAGCTGTGAAGGATCTGAGGTCTGGAAGCCAGCCGGGATAGACAACTCAAATTAAGCATTTAGACAACAGGTGGGAGCTGGCTCAAGTGACAGCACCAACAGTGACTGAAGAAGCAGACCTGGAGTTCAAGCTCCAGCACTACACAACAAAAGCATGGTGGAGGCTAAAGTAGATGTGACACATGAGTTTCTAAGATAGACACCAATTGTGGCAACACAGCAAGTCCTCATCTGACACATAAAGAGAAAAGAGAATGAGTGGAGGGCCGAGAGAAGGGGAACGAAAGGGCAGGGAAAAGAAGGAAGAAGAAAGGACAAGAGAGGAGGGGAGTAGAGGGAAAAAGAGGGAAAGGGAAAGGAGGAGGAGAAGAGTGGAGGGCAGGAAATCTTCATGACATTAGATTTGACAGTTACTACTTGGATAGGACACAAAAAGTCCTGATGTAAAACCAAACAAGTACCTCAAAAGGCCCCATGACCGGAC